CAGGAATACACTGGGCAACAGGAGGTTGACTGTGTAGAACAGAGGTCTGCGTCGGATCACAACCTGACGATAAAAGAAAGAGATGTCTTTCATTGTAGCAATAATGTTGATCTTTCTCACTTTGTTTTTATTTCACTTGGGTACTAATTTAAAACTGCTTTCTAAAAGAAATGTGACCAGACATTTGGACCATGTGCATTTAGTGGTGCACTAAAATACATTAATGCTGTGAAATACTACAATTTAAAATAACTTTACTATTTGAATGAAATTTAAAATGTAATTTATTCCTGTGATGACAAGACTTTACTCCAGTCTTCAGTGCCACATGATCCTTCAGAAATCATTTTAATATACGCATCTGGTGCTCAAGAAGGATTTCTTATTATTATCAGTGTTACTATTTTTGTGGAAACTGATGAATGGAAAGCTCAAACACATCTTTTGTAACATTATTTGATCATGTATGCAGATTATGTTTACACAAAATTATTAATGTATTTTAATACCAAGAAGTATTGGAACACATTTTCTTCTGTAACTGCAAATGTTGATGGAATATTGCTCTGCTAATGCATATTGATCTGTAGCTCATTTTTAACTGGTTAAATTGTTGGGGTTATAGCTCACTGTTACACAACACTCAATAATAATACAAAGCTGATACAATTATGTTTAATATAGTCAGTAAGACTTCGGTCTGTCCTGACTGCAAAAAGCTTTTATTTGTATCCCTGACATTTTTCATTTGCAAATGCTAATGTGTGCCATGGCTTAATTTGGCATTATTACGTTACTCACATGGAACTTCATTTCGGCATAGTAATCATCATTATCTATGCTGAACTCTTTGTATGTAGAGAGGACGTGAAGCAGCTCCCATTCTCCCTGGTTCATGAACACACTCTTGTCGTTCATTACTTCCTCAGGGGTTCTCATTAGTGTGATGTTGATGTCTTTAGCTACGGGATGAGATCAGGTTAAAGGTCAGTTCATTCAGCTTTCAGGAAAAGCTATGTTGTCTTCGAATCGTTTCTGAAATGCTACAATTCCAGGACATCCTTATTTCTGCTGTGTGTTGTTTTTGGAAAAACAACTTTATGCTTGTCTGTATTTTATTAAGCTTTCATGCTTCAGAGTTTCATAAATGATTTAAGATAGATCACATCGCTCAAAATCCTTTTAGACTTGGATTCTGTGTGTAGGAGGTACATTTTGTCACTAATGACTGAATGATCTCTCTCAAGCTCATTGAAATGCGTTTACTTACTTGTGTGTAGCCAGCTCTGGAAAGTCAGGCTGCATTTTTGGACATCATAAGGAAAGTTGTAGATGTTGAGGGAGCAGGCGGTCACTACCTGGATAGGCTTATAGTTGCGAACAAGCCCAGTATGGCCTACATAGACGTAAGGAATTTCAGGAGACTTTCCTACATCCACACTGCAGAGGACAGAGAGAGGGAGCAAAAGGGTTCAGTAATTCTACCGTTAACGTCTCAATTATCTCATTATGTCAAGTCTACTCACAATTCATTGATAAGAATATCAGGAACCCAGATGTTGGCAGTGGGAATGGATATCTGTTTAACGTCATCAAATTCTTCTGGATCCCACGCAAGGAACTCATCTATCCATTGCTTTTGAGGTTAGAGAAAGGTCAAGTACAAAAACTGCACACTGTAAAAACTATTAAGTCTCAATAGCCTTAATTAAGTATAGCAAGTAACTGTTCTTGTTTAATTTAGAGATGTTATAAACGAATCTCTGACTACTCACGGTGTTATTGGTTCACTAAAACTGGCTCTCTGGAGAGTCATTCATTCGGAAATCAAACGACGCTGTCTGCTGTTTACATTTATATGTCATTAAGAAGAAAAGAGTCATTTGTTTGACATTCAAACTACAATAGTTTTGCCGTACATTACTGATAGGCCTACACAAAAAAAGAAAACGGCTGGTATGAGTCATTTGTTCGGGAATCGAACTACACGGTCATCGCGTTGTATGTTTTCGATACACAATGAAATGATCTGCTCATACGCGTCAAACGATTGCTTCTCGCTTCAAAGTGTTGCTTCACAAAAAAAACAAAACAAAAAAAAACAGGAGTACTGTACGTTCATTATTCAATAAAAAGAACCGACTCACAGATATTCATATTCGACAAACGGACTACATAGTATGCACCGCACGTTCTTGATTCACTAGACCCGGCTCATACGAGTCATTCGTTCAGAAATCGGATCTTTTGATGTTGTTGTCGGTTATCTAATATTAAATTAATCTTGTATTTTCCACCAACATACCTGTCTGTACCACACATATGTTGTCAAGACCTGGTTCTTCTCATCCTGTGTGGCACAAAAATATATACAAAAGATTAAACGCAAAAAGTCTTAATTAACAGACAGTTAGTTTACATATTTAATAGACTTTTGAGACCTCTACCCACCACATTAAGAATCGCATAAACCATTAGGTCAATAGCCACCGTCGTTGACTGCCTCCAGTCGCGCACTGGTCGAACTCCTTTCTTATATCCGGCACTTAAAAACTCATTTAGTCGAACCAGAGTGGCATTGGCGAATCGCCCAGTGTTATTGCTCAGCTTCTTCACTACACCGAGACAAAAGAATAGCCACTTATCACTTTTACTTCATTCAGCTTCAGCATGAAAAGGTTAAGCTGTCAGATACACGTGAATGCATATTAATTAATTAATTAATAGCAATATTGATGGTGTCTCAAAACCTAGAGAGCTGTCTAATTTAGATGATGATGACCAATAATGACCAACCTAATTTCCTTTGATGACCAAAAATGCTGTCTAGGTTGGCAGCTCACTAGGTTTTGAGACACAGCCCTTGAGTCTTAAGCTCGTTTAATGTGAAAGTACAGCGCTTGTTCGTTTGAAAGCTCAAACGCAATTTGTTTTTATAATCAAAATCAAAAATAAAGTATAAGAGAAGTTACCTGAGCAAGCCACCACCGCCACATACATGCAAACGCAGAGAGCTGTCCAGAGTGCTGAACATTTCATTGTGCTGAGCCGTTTAGCGTTGCTCTGGGTTCTTCTCGCAGGCTTCTAGCCTGGGGCTGCTTCCTTCCAGTGATGCACCCTGAGCTCCATTAGTTATCTTTGAGTTTTCCATAAGCGCTCGGACTGTGTCATAACAGCACTTAGTCCACCCTCCCTCCCTCTTCTGTATGATCATCCCACAGCTTAGGCAGGTCCAAAGCACTTCAGCTTGTCCCAAGAGACACAACGGAGAGAACTATATACGCATGACAAGCATTGTGTAGCTACTCTTGAAAAGCTTGATACAGATAGAGTTCTATTTCTTCTAAACATTGTACTTCAAAAACGATTTATTCACAATTATTTTGTAAACAGCATGTTCTATTAGGTCTCATTATCATGTTAAAAATGGAGCATGGAGGCAATGGGTTATTTGTTTGTTTAAGATTTTAAATATAACAGGATAAACAACATAGACATCGTCAAATGATAATACTAGTGTTTTTCTCTCTCACATTAACTCAACAGCGGACGGCGCATGAATTACAGCTACCATTGACATTTCATGGGTCATATTTCACGACCAAGTTCAAGTCAATTTCCATGAGCACTTAGACTACTACATTAACTGTGATCTAATACTTCACCCAGCCATGATGAGACTTAATTAGCCCGGCAATAGGCAGGTGATTAGATTTGTGTCAGGAAAATATTATCAGAATTTTGATGAGGAATTGAATTAGGTGCTTTTTTTTCTGACTGACCTGGCAGCTCTGAGAAGCGATGTAATGAAAATGTACTATAATGATAGTGATGTGAAGGTGATTGTGGTTTATTTTTCGGTAAGGAAACTGGAGCTTGATATATGATAATGTTACAGTACAGGGAGGGGCATATAAACCTACGTTCTTCATTCTCATGTTATGTGTAATTTTTCAAAGAATGCTCTGTAATCTGGCCCTTAAAATTACATTTGTTTGTGTAAACATATGTAGTAAAATTGATTCCGACATATTAAATCATATTCCATGTTTGAATTTAATAAAACCAGTTAATTTAGTTAAGTGGATTTTGATTACCTAGTAAAACAATTTTACAATAGCATGATTTTTATTAACTGTTTTATTTATTCAGGACGTGTGTATTTATAATGAAGTATTTCTTTTAGCAGAACAAAATCTCAAAACAATACAACTTATTTTGCAAAGCACTATTTATTTTTGCACGTTGATGTTCAACAGTATCATTTATAATTTACAGTATTATTTAATTGTTGATTCCATGTACTTGCTTTACAAATAAAAAAAAATCTAAAGAGTTATAGTAAAATGCAAGTGTATATAAAATGTAAGTTAAAGTCACAGCATCTTAAGATTCTACATTTGAGTTAAAAAAAATGTAAATCTCCACTTGAACATATACCATTAAAAAAAGATACTATTGCCATACTGTACCTTTATAGAATATTAACATAAAAAGTGACCTCCATGTTTATGAATGGGGGTGTATTTCAGTGACAGTCCCTTATCATCAAGTGCTACAGTTAAAACAAAGCATTTGAGTGTTATTAGTGAAAAGAAGAGAAGCATGGAGGAGAAAGACAATATTCAAACATAAATTTGTTCATTAATTTGTTTTTCTTTATTCTATGGCAAACAATCACATACAACATGAAGGCAATTTGCTTGCAACTAGTTATGATTTTTACATTACTGAAAGTACGTTTAACCATGTTTTACAAATAAGGACTCCACCTATATAAATCTCGTTTGGCAAACTGGGCTCGTTTTAGAGTCAATCTACAGAAGAAAATCTGAATTCATGTTAATAGTAGGCATCAAATGTAATTAATTATACTTTAAAACTAAAACTGCAGTTGTGAAATCTGTCACTTTGTTTGAACTTTCTCCATCCCCTCTACTTCCGTTTTGTCCTTCTCTTCTCATTACCCCTCTTTTTCCCCAACCACCTCCTTCAGACTTTCAGGCAGAGCTCCAGACACCCCAGAGCAGCAGTAGAGTCATGACATAGATGAGCATAATTAGCAGGTACACACAGAAGAGGAGCTTGTCCACTTTCAGGCACAGTTCCACCCAGTAAGACTGTGAACTGCCCTCATTGTCCTCCTCCTGAAGATACAGTCTGAGAGACACCACCTCCTGCAGGATCTTCTCCAGTGGAGAGTCATTGTTTGAGACTTCTGTCAGAGAGAACAGGTCTGGCTCTGGAGAGAGATCAAACTCGAAGCCTGAATCAGAGAGAGAAAACAATTATTATTTGCCGTGGTATTCTTGTGAAAGGCAGAGGAGACTGACACAGAAGAGAAGAAATTGTAGAATAAAGTCGTTATTTTTGTTATATTTGCGCAAACAAACGCATTCTCGTAGCTTCATAAAATTTAAGTTGAACCACTGATGTCACATGGACTATTTTAACAATGTCCTTACTACCTTTCTGGGCCTTGAACGTGGTCGTTGTGTTGCGGTCTATGCAGGGTCAGAAAGCTCTCGGATTTCGTCAAAAATATCTTAATTTGTGTTCCAAAGATGAACGAAGGTCTGACGAGTTTGGAATGACATGAGGGTGAGTAAAATTAATGACGGAATTTTCATTCATTTCAAATTTAAATCTTAAAATTAAAACTCAAGCTTACAGTAGGCCATCCAAGATGTAGATGAGTTAGTTCATCATCAGAACAGATTTGGAGATATTAATCATTTGATCACTTGCTCACCAATGGAACCTCTGCAGCGAACAGGTGCCGTCAGAATGAGAGTCCAAACTGCTGATAAAAACATCACGATAATCCACAAGTAATATACACAACCCCAGTCCATCAAATCTGCTGTTTGGACTCTCATTCTGACGGCACCCATTCACTGCAGTGGATCCATTGGAGAGCAAGTGATGTAATGAATAAAAATAAATGAATTGACTGCAGAATTCAGTGACTGGCCAATCAGAATCATTCATGTCAGCTGTGTAATAATGAATGATATTAACAATTTTTTTTGGCATTTTCATCTTTTATTACGATAGGACAGATCAGAACTGACAGGAAGCAAAGTGGGGGAGAGAGAGGGGGGCAGAATCAGGAAAGGTCCTCGAGTTGGGATTTGAACTCGGGACGCCCGTAGCGCAACAGCACTGTATATCGGCACGCTGCCCACAAGGCTATCGATGCTGACACAAACTTTTTTTCATCTACATAATGTTCTTTTATGAATAAACTATTGGTCAATGTTAATGAATGTTTGTCTATAACTCATTTTATTTAAACGTTTTAAAATGTATTAGTATATGCTGAAATTAAGAAATGAATAGACATTGTAAAAACATTGTTCCTAACTATTTCAAAGTATAGAACCCTATTGTATAAATAGATAATATTTTCTCTCCTACCTTCGGACTGCTCCATATCATCCAGTGTCTTCATCGATGTGAAAGCGCTCTCAATAAAGCTCTGATCCATTGAGCCGTATTTGTCTAGTAAGCAAGCGGACATGGACATCTCCTTGACTTCCTTCTCACTGTAATGCAAAAGCTTCACTACGAAAATGGACATTGCCAAACTCAGCACCAGCAGTGCCATGCAGACAGCGAAGAAGACCCCTGTGGCAAAAAGAGCAAACATTATTGTCAGAAAGGTGAGGCTGCTGTCCATCAAGAGTGTTGTTAATAGGTGAACATTGTAATTAGGAAGACCTCTAACTGTACTTTACCAATGAGGGGTGTTTTAATAGCGGTAGCAGGGATTTCATCCATCAGATTGACTCTGATTACAGTGAAGCCCAAGAGAATGCTGGTCTTGAAAGTGATGCGAGTGCCACTGTTCGGAGGCAGATAGAAGCTGGTGACATCCACCACCATGAAGAAGATGCTCGGGATGAGCAGACTTACCACGTACAGCAGGGGGCGCCTGCGGATCAGCACCTACAGAGAGAGACCGAAAGGCTGGAATTGAACGTGCTCTCTCTGGGTGATATTTATTCCATTACTTGCCCTCAGAGAAATGTGCTCACAGAGCAGTCTGAGATGGCTGTGTCTAAAGGGGAATTACATAACAAGCTTAAGCCTTCTCCCCATTTCCTGGATTTGCTAAATCAGTCCAATTTCTCATTCTAGAGCTGAAATTGTTTTCCCACACCTCAGCTCCCCCTGAGAACCCAGACTTGATTCTTAAGCGTCCTGATCAACCTCGCTGCCACGGAGTTATTTCCTCTCGCTGCCCCTCATCTGGATCAGGACCATCCATTTCCCTTTCCTTATTTAAGGCTGCTTAAGCTTCCACAGTACAACAAAGAGCAATTTCATACCGACTTAAACATGTTCCCCACCCATTTGGCCAATGAGTAAAAACACAAATATGGATCCCTAAATGGCTTCGGCAATGAGCCGCAGAGCAAAGGTAATCAAAGTACACAGCCGTTTCCATGGTGTGCGCATCTTAGTGGAACAGGGTGGATTGCCCACAAGCTTTGAGCTGTTGGCCCATTCCTCCCACTGAACACGACGCTCATTGATCAAATGCCAGAAAGACAGTCTCATTATCATCATCCTTTCTGTGTGTTGTCTGCCGCTAAGCCTCATCTGTTAGCTTTAGTGTGACTCCACTAACAGCCATGCAAAGGTTGCAGAAGGGTTGTGACATGTCAGACTAACATCAATACTCTAGCTAGCATGTCTGGCCTACTGTTACGTGCCTAATGTCTCAGTCAGGGTCCAAAATGAACATTTGTCAGACTTTAAATGCAAGTCAAATTTGGCAGTGGCGAGTAAATAAGAAATTCTAAATATATTAAAAATATTTGTATTTCATTTAAAATGAAAAGAAAATGCAATTTCAATTCAAAATAAACAACAATATAAAAATAATATTTTTCTAAATAATTTTAAATTAAATTACATTTGATTTTGTGACCCGAGACGGTGGGATCCAGCATCCCTGCTGAGGATAAACAGCTTGGAGAATGGATGGCTGGATGGATTACAATTGATTTTTAAGTATTCACAATATAAAGGAAGTAGTAACAGATATTTTTGTTGTGACATACATCATAAGAGTACCACGATGCTGCGCCTTGTTTACAAGCAGAGGAATGCACACGCATGCATTGTGATACTCTCGTGAACGCTCGTTCTGACACAGAAGAGAAGAAATTGTTGATTAAAGTCATTATTTTTGTTTTCTATGCACACAAAAAGTATTCTTGTAACTTCATAAAATTACGGTTGAACCACTGATGTCACATGGACTATTTTAACAATGTCCTTACTACCTTTCTGGGCCTTAAATGTGTCAGTTGCGTTGCTGTCTATGCAGGGTCAGAAAGCTCTCGGATTTCATCAAAAACATCTTATTTTGTGTTCCGAAGATGAACAAAGGTCTTACGGGTGTGGAACGACATGAGGGTGAGTAATTAATGAGAGAGTTTTCATTTTTGGGTGAATTATCCCTATAAGCCTTTTGTTTCACAGGAAGGTCGTGTTAAGATGTTCTCACAAAACGTAAACTATATTATCGCACCGGTCCACTGTATACATAAAGTCAAATATAAATACGTCCAACTTTATCCACATGCATACAGATTATATCATCGCACAATGCAAACTATGTTATCGCCTATCTCTAATCTAAATGTGACTAAGGTATAAAGATATCATGAAAGTTGCTTTGACACACTGTGTTTTGTGAAACGCACTATACAGATAAAACTGAAATTGAAAACTTGAAATGTAAAGCTGCCAGTGAATGTCCTTTGTACTGATTGAATAAGTTCAGGATTAATTCTCACATTAAACTGAATCTGTGCGTAGTCTCTGTCCTCTAGATTCAGTGTCCAGTAGTGAGAAGGGACAGACAGCAGCTCCCATTCACCATCATTCATGAACTCTCTCGTATCATTGGCGATTTCCTCAACAGGCCTCCACAGAGCTAAATCCACTTCATTCACTGCCAGAGAAACACATCAGCAGTTCATTGTGTTATTGTTCAATTAAGTGTTTATGTTGGCAGGTTTGCGAGGAGCTTATTTAAAATATGTCAGCTTTTAAAAGATTCTAACCAGGGCTGATCAAAAACACTCGGTAATCACAGCAACTCTCATTATACGGAGGCCAGCTTGTGTACAAAGCACACGCTGTGTACGAGTGAGTAATTTACCTGAGTGGAGCCAGCTGCGAAAGGTCAGAGTGCAGTTCTGCTTGTCAAAGGGAAAGGCATACATCTCCAGGTGACAGGCTGAGACCACCTGGATGGGTTTGTAGTTTTTTACTGTTCCTGAACAGTTGACATAAACATATGGGATGACTGGGGATTTGCCAACATCGACGCTGGAGAGATAGGAAGACATATGATGCAATGAGAGTATAACTCGACAAAATTCATTTCCAGAACACAAAAGGAGCTTGTGATGCAGGCTGGAGAGATACATCTATCATATACATACAATTCACTTATGATGACATCAGGCACCCAGATGGCATCCGAGGACAGTGATATTTCAGTGATTCCATCAAACTCTTCAGGATCCCAAACAAGAAACTCATCGTTCCATATCTGAAACATTAGAGTAATGCGGTTTACTGTTATCACCTAGCAGGTCCCATGAGAAAGATTCAGATCGCTCAAATATCAGATTCCATGCATTTCAAAATTGTATTATTGTGTATGTGTTTCTTTGCTGGATCTGTCTCGTAAAGATAAAATTAAATGTGGTTTATGAAACCTGCTCATTCATTGCATTCTTCTTTTAAAGGAATAAGACATGCCGATTATGTGGGCACTCAGGTATGTATATAATGTGTAATATATAGTGATATATTCATATACTGGTCTATTGATAATATTTCAAGTAAATATTCAGGTAAAAGTCAAAGGACAGTAGGTTTGATTTCAAGAGGTTACAGTGCAAAAACATTTTAAAAACAGCTACCATAAACAATCTGCATCAGACTAATCTGAATAAAGTATGTTAGCCATATACAATAATGCTGCTGTGTATTTTCGTAGACAAATTAATTGATACCAACTTGGCGATACCAAATGCTGGTGGTCACTTTCTGAGTCTGTCCATCCTGTGAAAAGATGTGCAAATTTACTTTATTTTACTGACATAGAAACACACTTTAAGAACTGTGCAATTCATTTATTTAGTTAACAACTTCTAACAGTTAACATTCCTGTGCATTGCATATAAAAAAGCTTGGCATAAAAATTGTTCATTGTCTACAGTACAAGTAATACAAGTAATCTCTCTAAAGGTTGAAATGCACTCACCACATCTAGGACAGATTTGATTATAAGGTCAATGTAAATGGTAGTTGGTTTGGTCCAGTTCTGGACAGGCCGGACTCCACAGTTATATTTGCGAAGCAGTAACCTGGTGAGTTGGTTCAGAGCAGATCTCTTTGGTTTCTCTGGGACTAACTCAGCCTGTGGAATAACTGTACAGAAATGTTAATCAGTGCAGATCTTGCTTCACTTGGTTAAGTTAGAATTATCAGTACAGTTTGGTAGCATATAGAATTCAGTCACATTCGTCGTTCCATAGTATAAAATTCACAGTAAATGTCATTCACAGATACGTTAGGTGGTGGCTTTTTAAATAGTCTTAAAATGTTTCTAATTTTGTTCCATTTTTTGAATATTAAATGTTAATGCAAACAGCATCAAAAGTTATGCAACATACGTAACTGAAAGATTGTATAATTAATATAATACAAACAAGAAAAAGCACTGGGCTTACCTGAAAGTAACAAAGATAGCAAAAGGACAGGACTCATCCTGACAATTAAGAAAACTGTAAACAGATTCAAGTCGGTTTCCACTGCCTTTGTCCCAGCTTTTAAAATTTTACCCTATCACGAAGTGTGTTTTATTCCAGTAAAATGCTATGGAGCATCAGAACGGTCGTTGTACACATGACTGCAACAAATGCACAGCGGCAACTTGCTCACCACTCTAGCAAATTGATTTTCCATTATGACGGTAAGAAGATCTGGGTTCAGTGAATAGGATGTGTACTCTGAATGCTCAATTCATGGACCCTAAGCATAGTAAACTAGAACATAATGGGCTATAAAACATACAGAATCATAATTATACAATTATGTGTTATCAGTAAAATCATCTTAAAATACATATTTTATTTCTTTATTTCTTATTTATATATTGAGCAGGAAATTGTAATGCTGCTTTACAGAATTAGATAAAGAAAAACAAATGTGTGCATATTTTAAGGTCATTGTAATGTATTTTAAATGTGGTAAGGACATTCTTTATCAAGAAGTCTTTGACATTTAGCAAATACACAGTAAATACAGTGTGCAATGATAGAGCTTGGAATAGCCAGGACAATTTTTAATGTAACTCCGAATGTATTCGTCTGAAAGAAGAAAGTCATATATACCTAGGATGCTTCGAGGGTGAGTAAAACACAAGCCAATTTTCATTTTTGGGTGAACTAACCCTTTAAATTAGGCTATTACCACAGTAAGCTTATCATGAAGAATATGATTCCTTATTATTAGTTCTAAAGATGTGGAGAGGTTATGTATTTATATTAATTAGTTATTAGTTTTATTTACATACCCTAACTAAAGTAACAATATTTTCCGCCATAAATGTCAAGTTACTTCGGTGCAAGTCACTCTGTCTTCAAAGAAATTAAGCTTCTTAAACTAAGGAGAATCCGTATTAATTTAGTAACTGCAATTACCAAATTCATGTGAGATGTCTTTCAAAAAGTGTAAGAAGGTTTGTCATTTTGTTTAGCAGTGACTAAATGCTATTTTACCATATGGTTATGGCTAAATTAAATCGTTTATTGCCTATATTTTTCAGCAAACCAAAATTGACATTTATTTTAGTTTAATCCACATTACCTCTGCTCTGCCTAAGTGAGGCTGTCATGATTAATGGGTTAGTCAGTTTTCTTGACGTTTCTTGACTGTTTACCAAGCGCGCTCACGACGTTTCCCAGCGCGCGCTTGAGTGTGTGTGTGTGTGTGTGTGTGTGTGTGTGTGTGTGAAGCGGGGTGTTTGGAGTAGGTCAAACTCTGGAGTCAGGGCGAAGCCTTGGAGAAATATTCTTTTAAAAAGTCATTGCCATGAGAGTTGAACAGGATTTTGAACATGGGGAAACGTCTGAAAACTCGGTGAGTGCGTTGTGTTTTACAGAAAATGTATTCAAATTAAAAATAGTAACACGGCTTGTGTTAATGAGATCTAGACACACAGCAGTGGCTGTCACCGTTTTATTTGCTTTAAACAGTTAGTAGATGTTGTAGACTGGTTATATTTGAGCAAACTTTTAATATTTAATTTTACAAATATGTTTATAAAATCTTAAACATATACTTTTGGAATTTCTATCCTAATTTGGAACCCATCCTTTGAAACCCATTGGAACCCTTTCTCATTGAAAAATAATTTGTGCAGTTCTGACAAGCATTACACAAAATTCCGAATCAAATATAGTATCCAGTATCCAATATCCAGTTTATGCACTTGTTTGATTTTTAGATGATTATTTGATCCCATTAGGATTGTTTTCAAATTATGATAAAAACTACCATAGGAATCTTGTACAGACTGAGATTCTGTTCTGAAGGGGTTTAAATTAGCATTTTCCCCTTAAATTATGTTCTCTTAAATTTCCCTTCTAAGTTAAGTTTTTAACTACTCAATTCTACCTTCTGAATGAAATCTAGGAATTAGTGAGTTTTCTTGTGTTTGCGTGTGTCACCCGAGCTCATCTATGATAAACACAAGCGCTATCTGTGTCGAAGGCCCAAAATAGAGCTCTGAGTGCCGCTCACAGGCCTCCAGCTCACCATATATGTCTTCTGCTCCCAGCCTAGGGTGTCTGGCTGCCTCCACAGCCATGCTGACATTCCCACCTGCTGTCAGAATGTCTTTATATAGTTCTGTTGCTCCTGCATCTATTATCTGGGCCACAGTCTTTTTTTTGTTTATGTTTACATGCCACATGCTAAAGCCTATTTTCAGGCATACTGTACTTGAAAAAATCAAATCTGATATGGATTTAATAGAAGATGTAGACATTTTCATAACTGTTGATCGGGCCAGCTATAGACTCCTCCAGCCCACGCTCATTTGACACCTGAGTCAGAAATGCGGTTATGCTAGGTGATAAATCCAAGTGCAAATTGCGTCTCATATCATATTCTTGTTTTGATCAGTTCACACCTGCTCTTTTTTTTCTGGAACGGATCCTGTTATTGAGTGGTTAATTGCTCAAGTGGGTCTTGTTATCACAAACAGAAGTATCCTCAATATGCCTGTGGCAAAGCATTTGAATTTTTGATCCACAGAACTTAAAAAACAGCATGTTTGCTTGTCTTTTTCAGAGCCAAACGCTGTTTAACCAGCTCAGAGAGATTACTGGCATTCAGGATCTGCAGGTTCTCCAGAGCGCCCTGAACGTATGTTTAGTACAGCAGCACTTATCCATGTGTTTATAACACGAGCAGCAGATGTAATGATACTGACATGGCTATTAATAGAAAATAAGCCTGACAAATGTTTGTAAATATGAAAATCATACCATGTGCGAGAGTTTCCCTGACATTCAGCGGTGAGGGTTTGGTAACCTAGATGTGGTACTAAAACAAAGCATGTGCTAAAACACAGCAAAACATGTTCATGTATTTCAGTAGTGATGACTAATTGTGAGAAAACTCTTTATCCAGGCTAGTCAAGGTGACATCAGCCATGCCATTGGGCTACTGACCACCCAGCCCCCAGAAGAGGAGCACATGCCCGAAGAACCAACTAAAGCCAATAATGAGAGGAACACCTCCAATACACAGAACGGTGGGCTTAAACGACACTATTAATATCAAATGACTTTCATGTCACCACATTTTCCAAAGATGAACTTATTTATATAGCAGTGTGACAGATAATGTCATGATGTTTATTTTATGCTCATGTAGTATGGACTTCTTCTCAGGTGCTGCTAAAGATGATCTGCAGACCGCCATTGAGCTTAGTCTTCAGGAGTCACAGCAGGCCGGAGCGGAGCAGAGAGAGCTGCACAGGTTCATTACCAATAGGGGCAACTGTAACATTTTTACACTTTCCTTCATAACTCATTGACTACTACAAATGTACAAGTCATCTGCTTTTTGTATGAGAAATATTTGCATGTGCCAAAAGTACATTGCTGTTCCAAATGATATTATTACCGTTATTCAGCAAGGACACATGATTTCTGAGGAATCATGTGACTCTGAAAACTGGAGTAATGGCTGCTGAAAATTCTGCTTTGCCATCACAGGAATAAATTACATTGTAATATATTAAAATAGAAAATTATATTTCATAATAATAATGTTGTTGCTATATTTTGGTCAAATCAGTGGCAAATAAATGAGACCTCTTTCAGAAACAAAAAATCTTACCGACCCCAAAGTTTTAAAAAAGGTAGTGTACATGTCACTGACTTTGGGTACAAGTAACTATAATTAATCAGCTTGTAATGAAAAGGACTATATCATATTATAAAACTTCTAAGAAAATACTTCTCTAATAATTGTTACAGTACTTGGGGGCAATTGTAATAGTTGGAAGACAAATTATATGAACACACTGAGTCTCAAATAAGAGCACACCTTAAAATAATATTATTGCTTTAATACTCTTTAATGTTAATGAATGGTTTTTGCTGTTCTATAATACTATTTTTAACTGTAAGAAATAATGTTTCAAAAATACAGTAAGTATCTGAAATCAGTTAAATTGTCTTTACTTAAATATACTGATCAGCCAACAAGTCAAAAACAGTCCTCAGCATGTCAGGTTACAATTAATTTGAATGTGTTACAGTTGCCTCCAAAATCATTCATGTTAACTTTCAAACAACAACCTGGTTATCAAGGGCATCAAAACAGGATAATTTATTGACACCCTCAAACATTATTTCTCAAAATAATTTAATAGAAAAAATTGAACACCCTTTTCTTTGGCAGAGAGATGGAATTTTATTAACCATAGCCTAAGCAAGTGTCATGACTCTAAGCTGAGTGTGAATGAAACAGTTTAGAGCGTTACAATTGCTTCTCTCTCCTGCTACAGTGGTGTTGTGTGAATTTAGAAATCATGGGCAGCAGTAACTATCAGACTCTGGTGTTGACTGTCTTACCTACTCCTGTTTTTACTCTAGGGCTCTTGAGGTTAGTGCAGAAGAGAATGCGGCCTGCATGAAAAGAAAGAGGTGTGAGGGGTCTGGAGAAAGCTGCAGCCCTGCTGACTGGATCCGACAAGAGGACTGTCCTGTGGGTATCCGTAATGTGGGAAATACTTGCTGGTTCAGCGCTGTCATTCAGGTGCGTGGAGTTTTTAATCACAAATTTCAGACATTTTGGTAAGCTGAATCTTTAGAATGAGTTTCATTATGAAAAAAATTGTGTTGTGAAAGGTAATTGTGAGTGTTGAACTTTTTTATTTTATAGAATAATTTAACAGATTCATTAGGAAATCCAATTGTAAAACAAAAGGACTGCAGTAATGGCTCTCTTCTAACCGGTTACATCATCTGGCCATAGTGTAAATTAAATTAGCGGTGTTGCTAATGACTGGAGAATAGAGAAGATCAGGTGGAGTGTCTGTTTTTTCCTGTCCCTGACTGCAGAAGCATCTCAGAGCTGTAATTTTATTATATCTACTCCAGACTGAATTTAGCGAGGCTTCTCAGATGTCTGTGTTGAAATATAAGCCTTCACTGATATTGATAGATGTCTGAGCTAATTAAATAGAGCATTGTTTTGATGATAAAGAGAGGCATGAACTCATCGAGTGAGTTTATGGCTTACAGATAAGTAACAAACAATCTTTTGTTAATTCGTAATGCAGTTTAATGATGTCATTTGAAAACAGTCCCAGCATGAATATGAATATACCTAGTATAATGCATTACTGCTAAGTTTTCATTTCAGGTTTTTAAATTAAATGAATACTTTACAGTAAAAAATTGCCAGTAAAGACTTTGTTACAGAAACCTTTTTTGCATTTGTAAGGTAGAATTATATGTTTTATATGTCTTTTTTTGTGCTTATTAAACTGTTGCATGTTGATTTTGACCAACATGAGCAAGCATTGTGTCATTTGTTTCCTACTATTGCAAATCGGTTGTGCATGTGTTCAGTTTTTCAGTATATAAGGTGGGTTGTCTTTATTTTTATATGCCAGCAAAGATTACACACTGTGCCTCTTGTTAGCTTCTTAAATTGTTGATAGTATCACATCTATTACCCAAGACAGGGGCGGACTTACCCATTAGGCAAACGTAGGCGACCGCCTTGGGCCCCCAAAAGCCAAGGGCCCCCTAAAATGCTTTTCATATAGGAGATGCGCATTAAGCGCTGACACGCGAACGGTTGCTGTTTACGGTATTACCACGACAACCGTCCGAATTGAACGTGCTTTTTGTGTATCCTGCTTGAAGGAGATGAAAATATTATGCATCTGAAGCTGTAATTAAATATTGAGAAACAGTGTGTATTATATGTTTATAATTGTTTTAAATGCCGCTTACTCATTTATGAGAAGGAACCAAGTAGAGGACACATACGCAGTTACTTTTTTGGTTGATATAATCCTTAGGTGTGTAAATGTATAATTGCCTTTTCGTTATTTTTTTCAGTTTTATTTAAATTTGTAGTTAAAATAACTAAAAATAAATGTATTTTAAAGCTTCTTCTCAGGTGCTGCTAAAGATGATCTGCAGACCGCCATTGAGCTTAGTCTTCAGGAGTCACAGCAGGCCGGAGCGGAGCAGAGAGAGCTGCACAGGTTCATTACCAATAGGGGCAACTGTAACATTTTTACACTTTCCTTCATAACTCATTGACTACTACAAATGTACAAGTCATCTGCTTTTTGTATGAGAAATATTTGCATGTGCCAAAAGTACATTGCTGTTCCAAATGATATTATTACCGTTATTCAGCAAGGACACATGATTTCTGAGGAATCATGTGACTCTGAAAACTGGAGTAATGGCTGCTGAAAATTCTGCTTTGCCATCACAGGAATAAATTACATTGTAATATATTAAAATAGAAAATTATATTTCATAATAATAATGTTGTTGCTATATTTTGGTCAAATCAGTGGCAAATAAATGAGACCTCTTTCAGAAACAAAAAATCTTACCGACCCCAAAGTTTTAAAAAAGGTAGTGTACATGTCACTGACTTTGGGTACAAGTAACTATAATTAATCAGCTTGTAATGAAAAGGACTATATCATATTATAAAACTTCTAAGAAAATACTTCTCTAATAATTGTTACAGTACTTGGGGGCAATTGTAATAGTTGGAAGACAAATTATATGAACACACTGAGTCTCAAATAAGAGCACACCTTAAAATAATATTATTGCTTTAATACTCTTTAATGTTAATGAATGGTTTTTGCTGTTCTATAATACTATTTTTAACTGTAAGAAATAATGTTTCAAAAATACAGTAAGTATCTGAAATCAGTTAAATTGTCTTTACTTAAATATACTGATCAGCCAACAAGTCAAAAACAGTCCTCAGCATGTCAGGTTACAATTAATTTGAATGTGTTACAGTTGCCTCCAAAATCATTCATGTTAACTTTCAAACAACAACCTGGTTATCAAGGGCATCAAAACAGGATAATTTATTGACACCCTCAAACATTATTTCTCAAAATAATTTAATAGAAAAAATTGAACACCCTTTTCTTTGGCAGAGAGATGGAATTTTATTAACCATAGCCTAAGCAAGTGTCATGACTCTAAGCTGAGTGTGAATGAAACAGTTTAGAGCGTTACAATTGCTTCTCTCTCCTGCTACAGTGGTGTTGTGTGAATTTAGAAATCATGGGCAGCAGTAACTATCAGACTCTGGTGTTGACTGTCTTACCTACTCCTGTTTTTACTCTAGGGCTCTTGAGGTTAGTGCAGAAGAGAATGCGGCCTGCATGAAAAGAAAGAGGTGTGAGGGGTCTGGAGAAAGCTGCAGCCCTGCTGACTGGATCCGACAAGAGGACTGTCCTGTGGGTATCCGTAATGTGGGAAATACTTGCTGGTTCAGCGCTGTCATTCAGGTGCGTGGAGTTTTTAATCACAAATTTCAGACATTTTGGTAAGCTGAATCTTTAGAATGAGTTTCATTATGAAAAAAATTGTGTTGTGAAAGGTAATTGTGAGTGTTGAACTTTTTTATTTTATAGAATAATTTAACAGATTCATTAGGAAATCCAATTGTAAAACAAAAGGACTGCAGTAATGGCTCTCTTCTAACCGGTTACATCATCTGGCCATAGTGTAAATTAAATTAGCGGTGTTGCTAATGACTGGAGAATAGAGAAGATCAGGTGGAGTGTCTGTTTTTTCCTGTCCCTGACTGCAGAAGCATCTCAGAGCTGTAATTTTATTATATCTACTCCAGACTGAATTTAGCGAGGCTTCTCAGATGTCTGTGTTGAAATATAAGCCTTCACTGATATTGATAGATGTCTGAGCTAATTAAATAGAGCATTGTTTTGATGATAAAGAGAGGCATGAACTCATCGAGTGAGTTTATGGCTTACAGATAAGTAACAAACAATCTTTTGTTAATTCGTAATGCAGTTTAATGATGTCATTTGAAAACAGTCCCAGCATGAATATGAATATACCTAGTATAATGCATTACTGCTAAGTTTTCATTTCAGGTTTTTAAATTAAATGAATACTTTACAGTAAAAAATTGCCAGTAAAGACTTTGTTACAGAAACCTTTTTTGCATTTGTAAGGTAGAATTATATGTTTTATATGTCTTTTTTTGTGCTTATTAAACTGTTGCATGTTGATTTTGACCAACATGAGCAAGCATTGTGTCATTTGTTTCCTACTATTGCAAATCGGTTGTGCATGTGTTCAGTTTTTCAGTATATAAGGTGGGTTGTCTTTATTTTTATATGCCAGCAAAGATTACACACTGTGCCTCTTGTTAGCTTCTTAAATTGTTGATAGTATCACATCTATTACCCAAGACAGGGGCGGACTTACCCATTAGGCAAACGTAGGCGACCGCCTTGGGCCCCCAAAAGCCAAGGGCCCCCTAAAATGCTTTTCATATAGGAGATGCGCATTAAGCGCTGACACGCGAACGGTTGCTGTTTACGGTATTACCACGACAACCGTCCGAATTGAACGTGCTTTTTGTGTATCCTGCTTGAAGGAGATGAAAATATTATGCATCTGAAGCTGTAATTAAATATTGAGAAACAGTG